TGTTGTTTGGCGGGTCCGGGCTGGGGATTCGAACCCGCCACCTTAGGTGTACGTGGCTGGCGCCTTAGCTGGTTGAGCTATAGGCGCTGAGCCTGCAACTTTATTTTTAAATGAGAGTAATAACATGAAATAAAACCTTCCAAGTGTTAAATTGTCCAGCACATTGTGGCCAGCACCGGCCCCTGCAATTGGCAGGTGCCTGATACATCACTGAGGATGGCGAGAGACCTGCTTTCTTGTGGTCTTTGGAGCCTGAGGACGTGCATTAAAAGAGCTGATCATTTCTCACCTTCACCTTTCCTCATAGAATTCTGCCTCTACACCTCTGAGGATGGGGAACCCACACCCACTGGGAGGGCTCTGTTCTTTTAAACAGGGTACAGATTCACTCCTCAGTCCAAACTCCATCAGCATCAACCCTCTCCAGTGGTCAAAGTGTTAAAATAATTACAAATGGGAGGGGGGGTGATCTCCTCTGTAATATAAATTATTGAAATATAAAAAGTAAATTTCATCTAAAATATTGAAAGTGCTAATGATAATTGTCATCATTTTTTCTTCAACTATCTCTCTTTTCAGATAGAATAACCTCTCATAGACATAGTGTCTACATAGGACATAGCAGACTTGCTTCTTGGACCTGATGCAACCTAATTGATTGTTTTTAATGACTTCTTTCAGCCCCAAGTAGAATACTGCAGTTGTTGATATGTCTAATTATGGTAGTGTGGTACATGGAATGTGTATATTAAAATTATATATAAAATGTAGAGAGTTAAGATTAGAAAGCCCTTTTGTATCTTGAAGAATTTTTATTTCATAACTATACTGTCCTCATTACTAGACCCATTTATTCGATGTGTCTAAATTATAGGTGATCCTGGATCTCCAAAGGCAAATTAATCATAGAAAAATCTTAGCTTTGGAAAACTAGTATGTTGCCTCTCAAAAATCATACTGATTATGACAAGGTAGTATTTAGTGTCTTTTAAATTAACATTGATTAAAGTATAACACTTTTTTCTATTGTATTTCTATATCACATCAAGTTCTGTATCTTAATTCAATGAACACATACTCATGCAATTTATTTACTGCCTAAAATTAAAATTTAATTTTAGTGGTTTAGGTATTTTTAAACTAGAAACTAAGTTTGTTTTTTAAACTTTTGGTAAAATTACCTCTGGTATTCATTTTAGAACTAGTCCAGCCTTGGGAGGGGGTCTAGATCTTTAAATTTCTTTGTTTTAAGATATCTTCCAGTATTGAGGATCTATGTGATAAAGGCATATTTCTTTGTAGAAAATGATTCCCCAAGTACTTTGGGTGGTGGAAGGGGACAGATTAATATGGCATTTTTAAGAGTTTTATTTTAACATTCAAAAAGAACTCAAGCAGGCAAAATTGGTAATATATTGTAGTTTGAAGTTCATGATTCCTCACAGTCCTTTTCCCTGTGAAAAACTATATGGCAAACCAATAGGAGTAATTAATTTTATCTCCTAATCCTCCCCCTTAAAGGGGGAGATAGAATGCTTGGCGTTTCCCATGTGGTAAGATTTATCATGCTCCTCTGAATTGGAACCAAACCCTGGTAAAGCCACAAGGCATCTACACTTCACAGAATACGAAAGAAGCAATGGTAGCAGGCAGTTTGCTAAGCTCAGGAAATGATGATATATTTATAGGTGAAATTCATCCATAGTTTAAACTTTAGAGAAATGAAAAGTTGAGAGTCTCCTGGTCATCCCAGCTGGGTTAGACCCAGACCCTGAGCTTGTTCACGTGTTCAGTCTCAGGACCTGTGAGTAGGAAGGTAAAAGCAGAAAGTGGATCAGGTGAAATAGTTAAATATCGATGCAAAGAAGCTAGTTATAAATATTGTCATTCAGATAAAATTTCTGGAATTTTATCGTTGATAAAAGTCTCATGCCTTTAAGAGCAAATATTAATGATTATTCAGAAAAAACTGAATTGCATTACACTTGAAAGTTTTTAATTCAGAGTGTCATTTTTAAGAAGGCCTCTGGTCACATTATACAGATGATTTACTTATAAAATGGAATTATTGTTTCTTGCCCTGTGTGTCAATATGAAAAGCCTAATTAACAGAAGGAAAGACATTAAAGCTTCTTAATTAAAGTAAAACTTAAAGATTTATTTCATGGTATATATGCCCCCAATTCTGAAGTGGGCTTTTGTCCCAAATAACCTACAATCTACTTATAACAGCCGCTTCACCTTAAAGAAATCTAATCCTAATAGCCACTACAAGATGGTGTTGTATTTCAAAGTTATGAGTTTGCAGGCATTAAAAACTAATTTATTTTTCCTGATTATTGAGTCTATTGTAGAATTCTGCGTTAAGCATTCCGTAGGCGCTATAGCTTTGATTAAGCAAAGCTTTTTTCAGGGATCTGGTAGCGCCCAGCCCGGCACCTTTTACTCTGAATGTGAAGTGTGTGCCTCCGTGTCACAGAGCCACAGCCTCCCCAGGGACACAGAGCAGCTCGGCAGTGACAGCAGGAGCAGAGCAAGGAGCTTATCAGGCAGCCTCGGCCACCAACAGATTTGACTCCCGGAGCTCTTTTGAGGGAAAACCTGGTAAAATGTCAAGGTGTCTAACTGACCTCGCCTTTGTAATCTGTTATATAAATCTTAGGAAAGGTCTGGGAAGAATCAAAACCATTTATAAGTTAACAGTCAGTGATGCCAGAGCCGCCCTGCAGTGGGCAAGGCCACAAGCCGTGGTGTGTCAGGGCTGCTCAGGGCCTTCCCTAGGACACCAGAGGGTGGAACATGATCACACACTCATCTACAGAGCAGCAGCCAGTTTTGTTGGGGGGTGGGTTATTTTAATTTAAATGATGCAATGTAGAACTTTTTTAAATGGCAAAATCAAACCGTTCTTTATTTTGTTTTTGAGTGGGTTGTCATGGGAACAGAACGGAACGAAATGGTGGGGGTTTTTTCCCAGATTTCTGCTTATTACAGGTCTTCCCAATATAGTAACTTTACTGAATGAATAGAAAACTAAAGTAAAAGTCCTAAACCTGTCGCTAAGGGGGCCACATTAGGGACCTTGACCCTGAATGGGTGAGGGGGCTCACCGGTCTTCATTGCCTCGTGTGGGTTATGTCACTGCACCAATAGAGTCTTCTCAGGCACACGAAAACGAAGAATAAATATTATAGCCACAAAATCTCACAAACTGAAATCATTTAGCTTAAAGTATCATGAGAGTGGCATATTCTGATTTGGACTAGAGGTTTTAGGCTTCATGCCAGTACCTGCAGCCTCTTCCTGATCATTAATGCTAAGAAGCCAGAGAGTAGTGTGAGCAAAAGAAGTTTCCAGGTGACCCTCTAACTTCATTGCCTTGGGTTTCTTCTTACTGCCACTGTTCAAACAAGTAGAACAAACTCACTGGAATTTTATTGCCTTTTCTGTCCAGCTGTTAACAGATATGTCAATGAGCCAAAATTTATAGGGAAATGGAACAGGCAGAAGCATGAGGAAGGGAGACAATGACCTGAGCTGGCTATTAGTGCACAATCAAACCTTGACTGGTAGAGAATTGGTGGCCATTGGCCATTTGAAATAGCAGCACGTGCTCCAGGCTCCGAGTAAATTTTGTGCATTAGGTGGAAGTTTAGCAATGGTGTGCCAAGTGTGGAGCAGGGAGTGAGTTCTACAGCAGGAGAGTAGTGAGGTGGGCAGGGCTTCGGAGTCCCTGGGTCTGCAGAGGTGTGAGCTCAGCCTTCACTGTAGGGAGAGGGACAGACGCGGCCACCAGCCAGACTGCAGAGTGAAACACTGCCTCTCCCCTGTCCAGGTCACGCTCGCGGTCCCCTCGGAGGAGAGCCCACTCTCCAGAGAGACGGAGGGAAGAAAGAAGTGTCCCCACTGCCTACCGCGTGAGCAGCAGCCCTGGGGCCAGCAGGAAACGGACCCGCTCCAGGTAGGCCTAGAGGTGTGCTGGTGGGCACAGCTGTGCTTCCACAGCTCCCTGGCAGAAAGGGGGCCTGCAGATATGGTGTTAGCATTTGTATAGGGAATCAGGGAGGTGCTGAGCCCTCACTGCTGCATGGGCCACGCCCGCCTCAGGGCACACCTGTATGCACTCCCAGGGCTCTATCTCTGCCTCTGTCTGGCTTCAGGTCCTATTTCCCTCAGCGCCAATGCCCTCTGACTTTCCATTCCTCATAGAACCTATTTTAGTTTTAAGAATAATACAGGCTCGGCACCTACAGCTCAAACAGCTAAGGCGCCAGCCACATACACCAGAGCTGACAGGTTCAAATGCAACCTGGGCCTGCCAAACAACAATGACAACTATAACCAAAAAATTGCCTGGCATCCTGGCGGGTGCCTGTAGTCCCAGCTACTTGGGAGGCTGAGGCAAGAGGATCGCTTAAGCCCAAGAGTTTTAGGTTGCTGTTGGGGACCCTCTGCCCCTTGGAGAGATGACCTGAGTCAACACCCCACTGCCTATCCACCAGGACTCAGCCTGAGCAGCAGCTGTGAGAAAGTGATGCTGCCGTCTGCCTTGTCCTGTGATGGTCCCATTAACTGATAAAATGTGATCTCTTTTTCTAAAAGCAGAAAATTCAGCAAAGGAATTAAAGAGCTGATAGATGTCAGCAAATGTTTCATGTACAAACTCATTCTGTCTGTCTGTAAGTTACATTCTGTGCCTTAATAATCCCACACTAGGCATTCATGACTGTTCTAGTACAATATGATAAAAATTAAAATCCATGTTAGGGCTCTGCACCTGTAGCTCAGCAGCTAGAGTGCCAGCCACGTACACCAGAGATGGTGGGTTCAAACCCAGCCCAGGCCTGCCAAACAACAATGACAACTACAACCGAAAAAATAGCTGGGCGCTGTGGCAGACACCTACAGTCCTAGATACTTGGGAGGCTGAGGCAAGGGAATTGCTTAAGCCCAGGAGTTTGAGGTTGCTGTGAGTTGTGACGCCACAGCATTCTACCAAGGGCAACATAATAAAACTGTCTCCAAAAAAAAAAAAAAAAAATTAATGTTAGAATTAATTCCTTAAGTAACTTAACATCTGAAATTCATCATCACCTTTAGTGTATGTAAAGGGCATGGTCTAAAATTAATTCCTTATAGCAAAAGATCTCTTTTAACAGAAGAGTTCTTGCTTCGCCCTGAAATTAACCTTTGCATTAAAAGATTGTGGGAGAAGATGGTGATTGTGTTACAAATGAGCAATGCTCTACAGCCATACACCAAATGTAGACATCAGAACTTGTCTGATTGTCTGACATTATCACTGAGACTGTAATAAGTCATACAAAAAAAGTTAAGATTGAGATACCCTGCACAACACCTGCGGAACTGGGCAGCGCCTGTGGCTCAGTGGATAGGGTGCCAGCCCCTTGTACCGAGAGTGGAGGGTTCAAAGCTCGCCCCAGCAAAACTGCAACAACAACAAAACAATAGCTGGGCATTGTGGCAGGTGCCTGTAGTCCCAGCTACTCAGGAGGCTGAGGCAAGGGAATTGCCTAAGCCCAGGAGTTGGAGGTTGCTATGAGCTGTGACATAATGGCACACTACCGAGGGTGACAAAGTGAGACTCTGTTTCTTTTTTTTTTTTTTTGAGACAGAGCCTCAAGCTGTCCCCCTGGGCAGAGTGCCATGGCATTACAGCTCACAGCAACCTCCAACTCCTGGGCTCAAGCGAGTCTCCTGCCTCCGCCTCCCAAGTAGCTGGGACCACAGGCGCCCGCCACAACGCCCGGCTATTTTTTGGTTGCAGCCATCATCGTTGTTTGGCGGGTCCGGGCTGGGGATTCGAACCCGACAGCTTAGGTGTACGTGGCTGGCGCCTTAGCCGGTTGAGCTATAGGCGCTGAGCCGAGACTCTGTTTCTTAAAAAAAAAAAAAAAAGAAAAAGAAAAAGCATAGACCGGTCATGGTAACTCAAGCCTGTAATCCCAGCACTTAACAGAATTCAAGGCTGGAGGTTTATTTGAGGTCAGGAGTTCAAGATTAGTCTGAGCAACATAGCAAGACCCCATCTCTACAAAACATAGAAAAATTAGCCAAGTGTAGTGGTGCAATCAAGTGAGACTTGTCTCAAAACAAAAAAAAAAAAAAAAAAGAAAAGAAAAGAAAAAACCTATGACCTAACTTCAAATTGTAATCTGTGGTTAATTCAGGAGGAACTCAGTAGAGGTGAATATATATGCAATTACTGATAGATTTTATTGTCTATAAATCCAGAATGTTTTATTACCCATTAAATTGTATTACTGCTGTAGTCAGATATATCCCTCCATCCTGCTGTCTCCACATAGGAGTGAGGCCTCAGTGCAGTGGCATGTGACTGATTCATCCATGAAGTCATTGTCACTTTAATCCTTTAACATCCCCCTGATGATGGGGGAAGTGCCTAAAACCCAGATTCAAAGCATTATTTCTACAAACTGATTGCCTGCTTCTTTCAACAACTTCTTAATTTTGAAAATTTTTTTAACTTATGGGAAAGTTTTTAAAACTGGCATGATGGCACATGTCTTTAGTCCTAGCTACTCATAAGGCTAAGGCAGGAGGCTTACTTCATCCTGGAGCTTGAGGCTGTAGCAAGGCATGCCTATGAGTAGTCGCTGCACTCCACCCTGGGCAACATAGTGAGACTCCCATTGCTGCAAATGTTTTTTAAAATTACCAGGTGAGATAGCACATACCTATAGTCCCACCTGCTCTGGAGGCTGATGTAGTGGATCATTTGAGCCCAAGATCAAGGTTGCAGTGAGCTATAATGTCGCGACTATACTCCAGGATAGAGCAACATGGTAAAACCTTGTGTTTTGGGGTTTTTTTTAATTAAAAAAAAAAGATAGACTGGTGCAGTGGCTCATTCTCTCGGAAGCTGAGGAAGGTGGATTGCTTGAACTCGAGTCAAAGACCAGCCTGAGCAAGAGTGAGACCACGTCTCTACTAAAAATAGAAGAACTAGCCAGGGCCAGGTGTGGTGGCCCATGCCTATACTGTAATCCTAGCACTCTGAAGACTGAAGTGGGTGGATCACTTGAGCTCATGAGTTTGAGACTAGCCTGAGCAAAAAAGCAAGACCTCATCTCTGCTAAAAATAGAAAAACTGAGGCAAGAGGATCACTTGAGCCTAAAAGGTTGGAGGTTGCTGTGAGTTATGATGCCATGGCACTTTACCCAGGGTGGGGTGACAGCTTGATACTCTGTCTCAAAAAAAAAAAAAAAAAAAAAACAGCCAGGTGTGGTACCAGCTGCCTATAGTCACAGCTACTTGGGAGACTGAGGTAAGAGGATTTCTTGAGCCCAAGAGTTCGAGGTTGCTGGGAGCTATAATGCCATGGCACTCTACCTAGAGTACAACAGAGTGAGACTCTGTCTCAGAAAAAAAAAACATAGTTAAGAAAATGAATGTGCAAGCTCCAGCCTTTGTAATGCGTTTCTCTGACAAAAGCCAGTGTTGGTACCAAAAAGACAAATGAGCCAATTAAAAGGAGGAAAGATGACTCAAAGAGGCTTCACAAAAGAATATATTTAAATAGCCAATAATCATACGAAAAGATGTTTAATTTCATGAGTCATCGATCAGGGAAGCTTAGATTAAAACCACAGTAGGTCCTAGACACTGACTAGATGCTGAAAACAAAGGCTGACTCAAATAGGGTTGGCAAGGACCTAGGCAACTTAACTGGACCCTCAGCCACTGTGGGGGGCAAGAAATGGGTGACTTTATTTACCCTTTATAAAGTAAACATTTAGCCACAAAAACAACTTGATTGATAGTTGCCAAAATTGGAAACAACCCAAATAACCTTTTTCTTTTTTTGCAGTTTTTGGCCAGGGTGCACAGGCACCGTCCTCTTTTTTTTCTTTTTTTAAAGATGCAGGCTTTGTCTCTCTGTCACCCAGGCCTACTCATGGCACAAAGCAGCCACTCCCTCCTGGGTTCAGGGATCCTCCTGCCTCAGCCTCTCCAGTAACTGGAACCACAGACACCACCCCCATGCCTTTCCCCAAAGTCAGTTAGCAGGAGAATGAATAAACAACTGATGGTAGATCTATGATGTAATGTTTGTCAGTAAAAATCAGCAAAGGGAGGGCGGCGCCTGTGGCTCAAAGGGGCAGGGCGCCAGCCCCATATGGCAGAGGTGGCGAGTTCAAACCCAGCCCCAGCCAAAAACAGCAAAAAAAAAATTAGCAAAGGGAGGGTGCACCAGCCGCACCGTGCTCTTAGGACAAAGTATTGAGTCTCAGGCCAGGGCTTATATCTGCTGGTGGAGGAGAGGTACAGACAGACCAGAGGTAGCCTTAGGACTTTTGGGGATGATGTGCTCCTGATGGTGGTAGGGTCTGTGTCTCGCCAGGTGAGCACTTGCTAGCTTGGTCTCCATGCTGAAGATTGAAATGATGTACTGTGCACTCCAGCTTTTGAAAGAAATTAATGAATGACTTAGTTCTTTCAGCAAATGCATAGAAAGTTTTGTCATTACCATTTTGGATGTACGTCACATGCTACTAAATATTTTAATTATTTTATTTGGGCCTTTTTTTGATATCCCACCATATGTTTGTAGACATGAAAATGGCACATAATTTTTTCAGTTTAGAAAATCATTCTGGCTCGGCACCTGTGGCTCAAGCGGCTAAGGTGCCAGCCACATACACCTGAGCTGTCGGGTTCGAATCCAGCCCAGCCCGCCAAACAACAATGACAGCTGCAACCAAAAAATAGCCGGGAGTTGTGGCAAGCACCTGTGGTCCCAGCTACTTGGGAGGCGGAGGCAGGAAACTTGCTTGAGCCTGGGAGTTGGAGGTTGCTGTGAGCTGTGATGCTACGGCACTCTACCCAGGGGGACAGCTTGAGGCTCTTTCTCAAAAAAAAAAAAAAGAAAAGAAAATCATTCTGTATGCAGTTTCTACATCCATGTATCTGTTACTAAGAATAGCATCTCCTTTTGTACCCATTTTTCCTCCTTGGTGGGCATGTCAGGCAGACTTCCGGAAGACCCTGTCACCTACCTTTAGCCCTGACTCACCAGGACCACCACCTTCCAGCCACTGGGTTTAAGTTGCTAAGCTCTCCAGAGGGGACCTGGGGGGGAGCAAGGCCAAGCCCTCAGGGGGTTATGCCCTGCAATGAGCATATTTCCAGTTGTTGATCCACAACATTTCAGATGACAGAGAAGGCACAAAAATGCATGGGGTCACACGGCCCTAATAAGGGTCAGGGCTTAGGGGAAGCAGCAGGAAAACAGGCCCTAGGCATCTCCGTAGAAGATAGATGGGGTAGCCAGTGTTGATAGATGGGGTAGCCTGCTGAATCCTACAGGATCCAGACATGTTAGAGCTGTGTATAATGGCTTGCGGTGAGGCAGGGACAGCCCAGCACACTAAACTATGGATACCCTTTGGTCTGGCAGCATTGACCATGCTGAAGTTCACACCTCTGCCTCAGCAGTTCCACTTGTAGGGACCATCCTGGAGATGTCAGCAAGCAGGACTATAGCTGAGGGGACAGTGAAACAGAAGCTGGTAGCTAGTGTCTGGAGTGTGGGGTGGGATTTAGAAGGATGACATCTCAGAGCCTGGGTGGAGGGACCTGGGAAGGGCTCAGGCCTATCTGCAGGGCAGTGCTTTACCAAGTACTCCCTTCTTTTATTGACTTCTGGGGGTAAGAGAGGGTTTGGGGCACAGAGGCAGAAGCTAAGGAGTTAACTTACCCTGGCAGGAGAAGAGGGTGGGGCTGAGGCAAGGTACACGCAGTGCCTGCCCTGGGTTGGATGCTGCTGATGTGCGGCCATCCACATAGTGCCAGAAGGTGTCAGAAGGGACCACTGGAAGCTGGGTATGGAGGTGTGTATCACTTGGGAGGCTGATGCAGGAGGATCACTTGAGCCCAGAAGTTCAGGACTGATGTGAGCTATGATTGTGCCACTGCATTCCAGCCTGGGCAACAGAGTGAGACCCCACCTCTAAAAAAATAAAAAGAATGCAGAACTTTGTCGTATGTAATACTTCATTAATTTCCCATATTTTTTGGAAATTCTCACTGAATCAGCATAAATGAAAAAGCAATATAAACTGCACATGGTTGCTTTTCTTGGGTATTCTAAATGCAAATAAAGTGCTGATTATATTTTAAATGCTACAGGCATCATACCTAAGGCTAAGACCCAGAAACAAGAACAAAGCTTCTTCCTGCACACTGCCTATTTTCGCTTCACTTCAGGGTGGCTTTTGTTAAACCCATTGATTATTTTGCTAACTTCATCAGTTCTAGCTTTGAAAGGGAACTAATGGGCTCAGCACCTGTAGCTCAGCTTGGGTGCCAGCCACATACACTGGGGCTGGTGGGTTTGAACCTGGCCAGCAAAACAACAATGACAACTACAACCAAAAAAATAGCTGGGCGGGTGGCGCCTATGGCTCAAAAGGCACCGGCCCCATATGCCAGAGGTGGCGGGTTCAAACCCAGCCCTGGCAAAAAAAAAATAGCCTGGCGTTGTGG